TGCTCTTCCCGGGTCATTGGGCTTTCTCAGTTCTCTTCAAAGATGGCTTATCCTTTTAATCGGGGGGTTTAGTAATGAAAACGGACCAGTCCCGTATTAGTGTGACACACACCCATTTGCATAGTCCCACCCAATCTTTCCTGGGGCAGAAAGCCTCCCATTTCTCCGAGGGGGCAGCTGGCAGTTTGGATGGCTGCCTGATGGTTAGCAGTCGAACTCATAACCCTCTACACCACTAGGGCTGTAATTGGCTCCCATATGTGCTATTTTTACCATAGCATATCCTTTCTTCATTGCCGATTCACCCCATTCCTATAACATCTTCAAGGGCAGGGCTGTGTCCTTTCAAAGTTGTAGGTCAGTGTCTGAGACATTTATGGGCCCTCGATGTCTATTTATTTAATGTGTGCATTAAAAGAGGGAGGGGTTAATAATGATTAGATTCATACAGTGGAATGAGAATTTTTCTATGAATTTATTATATAGATAGCAAGCATAATTACATGAAAAATGAGTCAGTTGTTTCTCATATTAACCTCCATTTCCTTCACACTGAGGAATTAGTCAGGTGTTCCTTTTTGTGGTATAGTTTGCTCCTTGTTCAACCTTTCTTAAAATATCCAGTTTTAAAATCCTTCCAATTCTCTGCCTCGGGATTCTTTGCTATCATTTTCTAACACTGATCTCATAGAATGGTCTCTTCCATATGCCAGAATTTATAATATTTATTACAGAGACTTCTTCATCTCACCTGTCTTATGCCTGGGTATACAGTTTGCAAAATAGAGGCTTCATCAGCTGTGTTTCTTCAGAAATTTACTCACTCCAATTTGCCCTGAGAAGTCATGCCTTCCCAATCTCCTGATACCATGTAGCTGGTGCTATGGTTTTCTGTTGGGGGCACTTTTGTTCCCTGCCAAGCCATGAAGATAGGAGGCAATTTTTACACAGCAGAAAATAATGACTTTTTGATTGACCTCAAGTGATGATCAGAGATCTCTGGAAACTTGTTAGTTGGGAAATTTCTGTTTAACTTTTTTATCTGCACAGTCACAAAGAAGAGTTCAAACCAAACAGGAGGAGCTAGAAGGGCCTTCGCCTCAGTGAAGACCATCAGAGAAAGATCTTGGTGCACTGGCAGTCAATCCCATCCCATAGGAAATAAAGCAAAATTTTAAAAGTGTTTTCCCTCCCAACCAATTCAGAGATCAACTAGGATTGAGTGTGCAAAAGTTTCATGCTTTAAACCTACTTTCAAATTTGTAATGACACAAATAGTACATCATTTCTTTTCAGAGCTAAATAAGAACGAAAAATTTGTAAAAGACAGAATTTGGTGGGTCAGTCAAAGCAGCTTTCTAAGAGGACATCATAAGCTTCTATTCACAGAGTAATCAACTGCTTTGGGAAAAAAAAAGTGCACTAGATAAAAGTAAGCTGGGCTAGAAAGTGAATATTTTATGCACAGACAGATCTATAAAGGAAACATGATATAAGAGTAAGGAAATCTGAAATGTATTATAAATCAGCTTTAAAGATAAAGCTTTGAAAATGAAGATGGCAATATATGCAAAAATGTGATTGATACGATTGATGTATGGGCTGTTATAAGAGCTGTAGAAGCCCCTGATAAAATGATTAACAAAAAGATAAAGAGTTCAAGTTCATTTTTTTAAGCCTTTTAAATTGACAAGGGAAGGAGTCCGTGTGGAGAGGCAAAGGAATAGTTGGGATTTTTCCCCTTTCTTTCTTTTCCAATGCTGACAAAACTGAACACATATAAATTGCCAAGGGTCGAGTATAAGATAAGAACTAGAGCAAGTAAAACATAGAAGAGTGAAAGAGGAAGATTATATGTAGATGCAAACACATCCATACAGTTCACATAGGAGCTATAGCTATCAATTAAACTAATGAACCTAATCTTCCGAAAATTGGAGGCAGAGTAAATGGCTTCCTTAGTTTATCAATTTTCAGAATGTGAAAAAAATGAGAGACTGGTTTTCATTTTTGAAAAGAATTCTAAGACCTATTTTTACATATGTACTCAAAGCCCTTCCGAATCCTTCTTTTAAAAGACCTTAATTAATTGACCATTCATTGATTTTCATTGACACAGGCTTTAGTTCATTTATGTCATGGGATTGCCTAAGATATCACAGAAAATTCTACTCAGAGCTGTGCTAAAGCAAAAATAATAGCTTTACCTTTGAGAAAAATGGAAAGGAACTCAATTTCAAGAACTTATTTTTCAAGAGATGGGTCTGTCTTAACAATTCTTTCTAGGATCTCCTTGGTCTCCAAGGATGGACCACTTATTCATTCCCATAGCTTAGTCCCCCTTCCTTCCCAAAGAGAAATGCCTGTTTTCAGTTTTAGAGGTTCTGTGAACTGACATCGACATTGCTATTTTGTCTAAAGAAATAGTTGGTATCTTTTTTATTGCTGCGGTTAAGACAACAAATATGAGTTGATTCTGACGCATGGTGACCCAAAGGACAACAGAATTAAAGACTACCTGGTCCTACCTGATGCCTATAATGGTGATTTTCAAGCCCGTTTTCGCAATCACGGTGTCAGCCCATCTTGTCCAGGGCCTTCTTCGTTTTCGCTGCTCCTCTGCTTTTACAAGCATGATGTCATTTTGCAGGGACTCGTCTCTTCTTGGCAACGTGTCCAAAGTCCAAGAGACAAAGTCTCTCCATCCTTGCTTCTAAGGGGCTTTAGCTGTACTTCTTCCAAGATGGATTTGTTTCTTCTTTTGGCAGTCCATAGTACTTTCAATAGTCTTCACAAGCCCCATAATTCCAATGCATTGATTCGTTCAATGTCCAATTTTCACATGCATATGAAGCAATTCAAAATACCATGGATGGGGTCAGGTGCTCCTCAGTCCTCAAGGTAACGATCGTACTTTCCAACTCTTTAGAGAGATTTTGTGCAGCAAATTACTCTCTTGACCAATATCTGGAGTGCTACATCCATGAGCATTGATTGTGGATCTAAGCAAGGCAAAATCCTTAGCAACTTCAATCTTTTCACTGTTTATCATACTGCTACTGTTGGTCTAGGTGTGAAAA